CAGGAGGAACAAGGTACAAACCTGAGTGTTCCTGGAGCTGCTTTTCCCCCTCTACCATCAGACTCTTTCACAAACATCTGCAATAATCATGACTTTTTCTGCTTGTTGCAGTAATAGCAATAAAATACAAATGTGCACAACTGTCCACTAAATGCATATTCATAGACATGGTTGATTGTTATCTCTGTGCTTGATTCTGCAGAACTAAAGGAGACGGTCTTTCCATTTCCACTTACTATCAATGGAACTTGTGTGATGAGGGATCAATCACTTACCCTCCTGCAGCCTTCAGACTGTTGAAATTTGGGCACATTAAATTTCAAGCATGTAAACGTAGTTGTGCACAAATGGGATCCTGAAAGTTTCAAAATATTCAACTTTTCTCAGAGTCGATATGCAATACAACCAATCAGTGACGAGTTCTTGAATAACAATGAGAACAGATTGCTTTACAGACTGCAGTCTATCGCTCCTTATAACATGACATAAAATCAAATCTTCTGGATTATCTATTTTACAGCACATGACTCTTCATACAGTGATTATTGAGATGCACCTGAAAATGGAAGTAAAGGCTATGGATTTATCTGGATCAGTGTTTTTTCTTTGTCTGTATTATAGAATAACCCAAGTTTGCTGGTTTTTTTTAACAGCTGTAAGTCTGTTTTGATTTTGGTAGACTTAACAGCATGATTTCAGTCAGTTCCAGCTAAGTCTTCATCCTCAATGTCTTGTCTATTTGTTCAAAAAAACAGTTCAGGAATAAAGACGGGTACAATTAAGAGCCTCTACTGAATAATCATGTTTAAATAATTAAATCTTCGTACAAGAGGAAGCTTTGACCACCTTACCATATCCAATTAGCCCTTGTTTAATGCCTCAGTAAAATTTTCATTAAACAAGCAATTGTTATCATGTTGCACAAAAACGTAAATATTCAAAGCTTTCTTATTAATTAGGAAAAATACACTTTTGGAAAGATTTATTCTGTAGTCAGATGCTTGCCTGAATTTTAAATAGGTTTTGAGCAATTGAGATTGTAATTGTGGGCTTTAAAAGATAAAAGGAGATTGTTGCGATTGGGGATGAATCAAGTTGATAATCGGATTGGATATCAGCTTCAAAGGACCTGGATCGGATATGAGATGACTCACACCGATCCATTGTTCTGATCCAGTCATTTATATTGCTATTGATGTCATACACAGCAATACAGTGACTTCCGTTTTATGAATACAGTGCTTACATCACGGACCTCAGCACGCTAGTGATTAAATATAACTGTGGTCATTTGTCACCACTTTTTAACAATGTTGATGTAAAGTAGGATGTCTACTCCCATGGCAAACATTTTATTCATTCAACAATAGTATCAGATTGGATCAGAAAACATTTTTCAGTGCATCTCTAGTTGTGATAATTGATGGGGTCACATCACCCATATAGAGGAGGGTCAATTAGAACTTTATACTTATTGATATGGTGCCATTTTTGCTCTAAATGTGTTTGGGGAAAGCTCTACAGCATAATTTGTGGGTAGTGCTATATAAAAGACTGTCATCAGCATATAAATGTGCCTTGAAAGTATTATGTCCCTTTGTTTAATCAGACTTAGTTACGTTCACACTGAAGCCTGAAGTGACCCAAATCCGATTTTTTTGGCCCATAAGTGACCTGTATCTGATCTTTTCATGGCTGAACACAGATCCGATTTTTTACACTGCAATTAGCTATTTTGTCCTGAATCCGATGAGAATCTGATCTTTTTAAATGTGACCTGTGTCTGAACAGCCAGGTCGCATTCTTCCGACCTGAAGGCCATTAATACTCGACAAAGGTCACTATTCTGGGTCTTATGAAGAAGCGGCAAGAAAAACAACAACCATGGCGGACGATGATGAGGAGAGCAGTATTTATGTTTAACCATCTTGAAAAGATTGTCTTTATGGTTGGGAAAGATCGCTAGATACGCTCCGGCACTGCCATCCATGTTTATTTCGGTAAACACAGAGCACGCCGGCCTGTGATGTCATTGCGTCCTCTACTGCGCATGCGGGACACTTAAGCTGTATGAATGCAGTTCACACAGAAGATCACATACAAGTCGCTTATATTTGGAAATTTATTTTTTCGTTTTGTATACACGAATGTAAACCAAAACAAATTTCGTTTAAAATATTCTTTTCACTCTATAGCTTTAAGGCAGTGTGAAGAGTGCTGATATTTCACAGTACTGTAATACTAACATTAAAGAGTTAGGGCTAAGCTAAGAGTTAAGACTATATGGTCTAAGCAAAAGCTTAAAGCCACTGGAGTATTTGTAAACCAGAATCTCATTGTTGACAAGCATTTGCCAGGGTGAGATGGTAAACAGGAAATGTCCAGATGCTGTTCTTGCAGTTAAAAGCCAATTTCTTCCCACTTTTGCTTGCTTATGAAACAAAAAAAATTATACAAATGGCCAGCTGTGGGTTGACAGCATTTCCCGGCCAAACAGTCAAAACCGATTTGCCTTTTTCGGTGACACACCCCCCCCATACACACATTTCCTTTTTATATACAGTAGATTTAGTACATATTGGCTTCTACAAATACTAAATAAAACAAACAGACACCAGTATCAGTCCGACAAAAAAAGGAGGAAATCTTTATTTTAAACCGTTTAAATGTCTCAAAGTTCCACAATCTTGGATCAAACAAAGAGGACATTTGCTAAAGAAAAGTAGGCAACTACAAAGACCACAAGGCAAGGCAAGGCAAGGGAAGCTCAGTTTCACAGTAGAGATTTCAGATGACCTCCATCTGTTAAAAGGAAGAAAAAAAATCTGGCCCACTTGTGCTGACGAGTTTTACTGGATAGGTTTTAAATTTTAAACAGCAGCTGACATTCTTCTGGTTTATGCTAATTGGCTGCCGGTGAGCAGCTTTTATCTACAGTATAAGCAGAGACGTCTGTTTCCAATCTCTATAATAGGAAAGTACATGATATAACTGGCCTTATAATTTCCACAGTGATACTTTAAAGTTTTATATCCAAATTCAAAAGGGAGAGGTACAATTCTCTAAATATTTTAAACTGGTCAGACGAAACTGTGCTAGAAAATGTTCATCTGTGGTATTTTTGGGGAAAAAATAACTAAATTATTTCCGGGGCAACAAATGTTTTTCAAAGCAATAAAGCTGATCTCAAAGTGAAACCAATTTATTTTCCATAAAAAATAAAGCAACATTTAAAGTAAGTAACATATAAAAGATGAAGCATAACCTGCAAAGGATTGAACCTTATTCACAAATTTTAGTCACAGAAATATGAAAAAAAGATCAAGACACTCTGGAGTCCTTTTAAAAACAGGATGTTACAAAAAAAAAAAAAGGTCCTCATGTTTCTTATGCTTAGTGTGCATGTCACAGCATTGGGATGTAAACTTCCACCTGCCAGGCAATTTGTATAAAGGAACCAGTGATGGAGGAAAGAAAGAAACATGCCAACAGACAGCTGCTGTCTATTTGAGGAATAAGAGTTGTTAGCAGAGCCACAGGAGTCATTGATGCATGTTATGGCTTTTGCTTGACAGGCAGAACCCATCTATACAAGATGTTTTCAGTAGGTTGGTCATTTTTGGGTGGTAATGGATTTGAAAGAAAAGGAAAAAAAAAAAAATTGCACGTATTTTTGGCATCATAGAGAGGGATACAAATTACCATTCAGGATCTTCTTGTCAACTTGCAACCCAAATGGACAGGTGGCTGACAGAAAAATAGGCCGAAATGCAAGACTGTCTCGGCACTTTGCAGCCGTTCAACAAAAAGAAATGTTTTTCAGGCAATGTCATCCATTGCAAAGAGCACATTACTTCTATGGCAGATCCTCCTCCTTGGGCACTTCTTGTTTCTTTCTACAAACAATAACAACAGCTTCAGTTTACAATCCCTTTCAAAAGTATCAATACCCCTTGAACTGTGAGCTGACAGGATTTTTTTTCTCTTTTTTTACTGAAATAACATTGCGTACAAAAAGGTTGTTTGTCCGTTTGGAATGGAGGAAAATTGTCTGATTTTTTTTTTTTTTATTTAAAAAATGTGCACTATTATTCCTAATTAGGAAAAAATAGGTCACCCCTATTAGTAAATAGAGGGCTTAGGTCCTAAAACCACATCCCAGGCTTTCAACACCTCATGAAGGAGTATAGAGGGTAGAGTTGTCTAACTAACCTGACCTAACATGACAGGCAAAGAAGGCATTAATTATAGACAGACAATCAGCCCTCGGCTGCTTTGGGGGAGCTGCAATGATCCTGCTGCTCAGTTCAGAGAATTTATTCTCAGAACAACTATTAACTCTACTACAAATCTTGTCTTACAGTAACAAAATAGGGTGAGGATTGTTAAACTGCTTTTTAAAAGGCCGAAATAATTTCCCATGTTGAGCTGGTTTTCATTTATCCATGTCCCAGAATGATCTGTTTTTGACAAATGTGAAATATTTCAAGACATACAAATACTTACATAAAAAAGGGCTGTAGACTGATGGACTGAGGCAAAGATTTCGGTGTAATCGTTTACTATGAAATTTTAAAGACAGGTTGCATGAGTTTCAAATCTGATAAGGATTTTATCATAAAGCAGGAAAAACAAAACACCTTTTGAAAAGACAAACATCTTTCAGTGGTTTTGAATGATGTAACAATATCAGACCAAGTGAAACCCATCACTTGGTTGAATATCAATAAATAAGGTGGTATGTTCACAGCCATCCCTTCTCTTATATTTTGTCGATATTCTGTAACTGAATAGGCTGTTATTTTTAACTCAGAAGCTTCTGGCAGCCAATCCAACGCACCGATACAAAGAACTGAAAGGTAGAAGTTGAGTCGGTGCTGGAGGGGCTTAGTGAGATGAAAAACAAAGGAGCAAAGTAGCATCACAAACGTATGTCTTTGAGTTTCATGTCACTGCAGCTGACTAAGCCAATCATCCTCCATCCGCTGTTTGCCCCTGCATTAATCAGTTTTCTTCTCTTTCAGATCCTTTTCTCCAACATCCTCCTCTTCTTCAGGGCCTTTCAACTCAGCAGCTTGTAGCTGCTCCTCTTCCTCCTCATCTTCTTCCTCCTCATCAGTGAAGCCCTCCCTTTTTTCGTCCAAGCTGTCATCCGATTCTGCCGTGCAGATGCCGTAGCACATCAGGCTGATAACGCCGAGCGGGAGGCCGAACAGGAAGCAACCCAGTAGAGGAGAGCTGCGGAAAACTGACTGATGTTGGGGAAAAAACAGAAGCGACGTAACAAGGGAAAAAATGGGGAAGAGGGGAGGGAAGGACAAAGCAAAAAGAACATGGAAAGGAAGTAAGATTAATAACTTGATACCCCAGTATTCTACTTAAATGAGCACAAACTTAGCAGCTGTAAAAGTAATTAATCATCTGCATAAATTAACATTCACTAAGATTCCTTTCTTTGTTAAACCCAGTTCTTTCTTGTCTTAATGAAGTTTGGATTTCCATCAAAGCTAAAGGCTCTCCTGTGGGGTCCAAGATCTCCGAGCAGATTCTGTTTATAACAAATATGCTGTTTAATGACCCCTTTGATGATAATTTACACTCTCAGACTAACTTAACAAGAGGCTGTAGAGTCTTAGATCTACACTGCGGTTATGTAAAAAGTACGTTTCCTTCTCTTTAATTACCTTGAACATATGATGATAATAAATACATTTACCCAGCGTTAAAAAATATAACTGTGTGTCTGAAATCACCACAATTGTAAAACCACCAGCTCAGCACTTTGTTTGGGGCCTCATATGTAATCAATCATCAAATGAGCTTCCTAATCTACAAAGAACCATTCTACACTGAAACCATGTTAATTCGTCCATGCTGTTTGTATCCATCCTCAACCAAATTGAACTTCAATCCAAAGGAGGGATGTTTTTCTAATTATTCTCTGCATAATTTCTTAATTAAAAAAGAGCCAATATTGATTTTACAGTAATTAGCTCCATGTTTGTATTCTTGACTGCTGCACGGTGAAAACTAATTTCACATTTGCTAAGGATCATGGGCAAACCTCAAACATGGGTGGAGAGTTGTCCACTTGTAAAATCAGATATTCAAAAATGAAGATATGCAACCTAAACTGCAACAAAAAAAAATTCTTAAAATAAGTGCATTTTTTCTTGAATTAAGGAGGTAAAGGAGACTTTGTTAATGGTATAAAACATTCAACGTTTAAAAAAAATTAGCCCTGTCTTATTTCAAGTGCATAATATCAAATTATCTTATTTTAAGAGTAAAAATATTAATTCCATTAGCAAATGGCAGATTTACCTATTCAAAAAAAGGGTAAATCAACTTATAAGAAATCTTTACCTATTTCTAGTTGGTTTTTCTCAATGTATGCAAAGTGACTGCCTAAAGAATGCTCTTCCCCTTCAAAAGAAAGATTTTGATCACCTATAGGGGGCCAGTCTGGGGCCTCAATAAAGAGTTGACGCAAGCCCCAGATATCCAAAGGGAGCAAAGATCACTAGGACGGCAGACATAGGGATGGCTGGACCCCACCCCGGAGCCCGACCCCCAGAGGGGCCGAACCCCAAATGGGCCATGTCCCTGAGGGCCAGGCAAACACTCAACCTGACAGGTAGACAACGACAAATTCACATTCATCCACTCACATTTGATCTCACGCTTAAACCCATATGGACACATATACAAGCACTCAACTGAGACACACACTGGGGCAGACCCTAAACATATTCCTATACTCCTCATCCATCCTCCTGAGTCTAAAGTAAGTAAATAATTTCCATTTGATAAATACCACAATGATGTTTTTTTTGTTAGGATTTTTTAAATTATTACCTGCAATTTAGAGGTTTACTAGTCTAACCCCTTAAAGCTGATTTATACTCAGAGACCAGGTCTTGAGGAAAATGTAAGCAAGAATAACTTTCAGTCAAACTTGGAGCTGTGGATTAAGGAGCAAGAGGTTGCTTCTCAGTTGGCACCAACTGATACCATGACGATGTGGACCGAAAAGGTCTATTTACATTTTCTCTAAATGCTGACATTCAGTCATCACATTTTTCAAATCAAATGTAAATATGGCTTCTGTTTATTTATCATTATTACATTATAAAATAATGTTGGTTCCAGTAGTCTCAGATCATTGCTGGCTGTAGTGGTTATTTGGGTTGTTGCTCAACACAAATTTATTTTTATTTTCTGGGTAACAGTACGGGACAGACGGATGAAACTAAGTGGGTGCCTGAAGAGGACAATAATCTCTGACACACATTAAAATTGGTTTCATATGGCTAAATCAGACTGACACTGAGCTTCTGGAGTGCTCCCAACCTTAACTCACTTAAGCGAACATGTTGGCTCTACGCCATAAATCCAACTATTTTGACTAAACTGGACAACTTTAAAGGAAAACTGGTCCAGTTTACAGTACGAACTTTGCTAAAAATCTTGCTATGGCTAGAAAAACATATGTGCTAAAAGCTGAACTTGTAGATTAACCATAATAATAGTAGGGTAATGGGTACATCGGAGCCTGAAAGTACAATCTGAACAAATGAAAACACAAAACTAAGTCAGCTTGTGTAGAATTGGTGTAATGCATCACATTCTTTATTTTCTGGTTTAAATGAAGCTGCCAAGCTGTTCCACACATTCACTGTCTATGATAGGTGTTTAAAAAAGAAGCAGGATGCAAGCAAAAGTCAGATGAGATGGAGGTCAAGAGGACACAACAGCTTAACTTTGATCTGTAGTTTCATCTGAACCAGTCAAGTTCTGCGCTTTACTTCTCAACTCCCTCTTACACTTAAAAAGCGCATTCTAATAATTTATCAGTCGGGTGTGTTTGAGATGTTCTGGAGTACGTCACTTTTTAATAAAACCATCAAACCGCTCTCAACAGACGCTATTTACAGATCAAAACATGATCTGAAAGCACACTGTTATTCATTTATTCATTTTCACTGCACCACTGGGTTTTGTGTGTTTATCAGGCAGATCACAAATGATTTGCAGAAACTAATGCAGGCTGCAGCTCTTTCAGCCTTAATTAATTTTGTTCTTATCATTTTAGTTCTTGGGGTTTTGTTTTATTATTTAGTTTTTGGGGTATGATTATTAAACATTTGTTCAGGTGTCAGTTTTTTGTTTTGTTTTTTTGTGTAGAGTTGGACGTAGGATTAATGCCTAGTTTTATACATTCTTTTAAGGTGATAGAACAATTATTGCAGATTAACCGAAAAAAATATTAATAGGATAAAAGATATATCCAAGCCTGAAAGTACAGTTATAATGAATAAAAATACAAAACTATATGAGGTGCCCAGGGACATAAATCAGAATTACTTCCAAATACACATATTAAACTCTTCCATATAATATACTGAAAGATGTGCATAAACACTAATGAAAAGCTAAAGCTCTCACATAAACTAGTGAAAAAATTTACCTCTTATATAACCTACTGAAAATCTCACACAGACACTAGTGAAAAGCTCTCAAACTCGTGAAAACATTTACCTCTTATATAACCAACTAAAAAGCTCTCATACAAAGTAGTGAGAACTGTTCATATAAACTGGTGAAAAGCTTTACCTTTCATACACACTACTGAAAAGCTTTTATACACACTACTGAAAAGCTTT